TTTTAATGCTCTCTCTTTTTCTTTCATGCTTTGTTGTTTCTTTGGGATATGTTTAGGTGTGGATTTAGTCTTTTTATTTTTTTGTAATCCTACTTGGATTCAGTTGGGTTTTCTGAATCTAAGGATTAGTGTCTTTCATCAATTCCAGAAAATTATCTCTGAATATTACTTCCCTGTTTTCTCTATTAAATGGTATTTTCCCCCCACCTTTAAACCAGCTGCCCCCACCATCTGCAGTAGCATCTTAACTGTTTTTTCCATCTCCAGCTTTCTCCCTTCCAATCTTTTTAGCATATTTAGGTTATATAATGACCTTTCTAAAATGTTAAATTTGGTCCTCTTTGTAAAACCCATCATTATTCTTAGGGTAAAAGTTCAAACTGGTTAACATACCTTTAATGTTCTTTATGAAATAACTCCTGTTTATTTTTCTCATCTTTCTCATTTCCTCCCCCTTCTCTTATACTGCATGCTGCAGCCGTGCAGAAATATTCTGTTTTTAGAACTTGCCGTGCTTTCTTTGTTTCTACTAGGTCTTTGTAAAAGCAGTTCCCTCTAACTGGGAACTTCTTCCTACTGCCCTTACCAGCTCTATCTGTTAATCCTTAGGATCTTAGCTTAGGGCTGTTTGTCTTGAGAATCATTTTCTGATTCCTCAATTTTAAATTAGGTGCTTTTTCCTTGTTGTCCCTAGTTTCATAGCACAATGTGAGAATTTGGGCATACGAACTATCACTAGTTGAAGTAATTACAAATAGGTTTTCCTATTACTTATGAATCTAGATACAGATTCAGAGCTCGAAGTAGTTTTTCCCAAGGCCTCTCAGTTGCTCCTCCTTCGAAATAAGCAGTCTCTTCTGGGCTCTAATATTTCTTGCCAGTCTAACCTATTTCATCTTAACCCTGTTATCATTAGCATTGTTAATTTCTGCCCTTAGATTCCTTACAATTAAATTGAGAAGGCACAATTTATACATAACTCTGCAGGCAAGGGCCGGATTGTTTTTATTTAGTATATTTTCCATCTCTGAAAGAGTAAGGTTGCTTTTGGTCTGGGTCCATAGGTCTAGTTTCTTTTTTTAAAATTTTATTTATTGATTTTAGAAAGGAAGGGAGAGAGGGAGAGAGAGAGAGAGAGAAAGAGAAATGCCAATTTGTTGTTTTATTTAGTTGTGCATTCATTCATTGGTTGCTTCTTGTATGTGCCCTGATGGGAGATCGAACCCACAACCTTGGTGCATCTGCACAATGCTCTAACCAACTGGGCTACCCATTCAGGTCCCATAGGTCCAGTTTCTAATCAAAGCAGTTGGCTTACTGCTGTGTGTATGCCTCCTCTCTCCCTACCAACAGTCTATATGAATTACACTGTGAATAAACCTTTTCTATAACCTGGCGCTGGTCTGATTCGGGTTCTCTAATTTGAGAGCCCATTTCCACAAGTATTTCATAGACTCCCTTTTATTCACCTCTGCTCTTGCTGTTTCTTTATGTTTGCCCTCTCTTGATCTTCCCCCTAGTCTTTATTTATGAGTATTTATCCTAAGCTTACCTAGAATTTGTTTAGCTTTTGATAACTGTTGTGCTATGCCTACATTGTCAACCAGCTTGATGGCCTCAACTGCTGGCCCTTTCCTCTTACTGAGCAGAGGTGGGGTACTATAACCCTCCCCTCATGTACCCTTGATAGGAGTTATATTACTTACTGGAAAGGTAAAGACAATTCCTGTTTTAACCTTGGAAAGATAGCCTTACTCTTTTTCTTTTAAAAACTTCATATTTACATTTTAATACCCTGATGTTGGGTTGCTCTTCGGACTATAATCACTTAAGTGGATTGTTTAGGAAATATTTTCATAACACACTCACAATATGATAATGTTACATAGATTTTTATCTTTCCTTTATAAAGATGATAGATCAGATTCTGGGAATATCACCATTTCATCCTAAAGGTGATTAGTAGATCAATGATGCTTCTAGTCAAGAGAAAAGATAAAATGGTGGCGTTAGTATGATAGAGTAACCATGTTCTTTATGTCATTGAGGGAATTTTCTTTTTTCTTCTTTTTTTTTAAATCTTCACCTGAGGATATTTTTTCCAGTGCTTCTCAGAGAGAGTGGAAGGGGGAGAGAGAGAGCAAGAGAGGGAGGGCAAAACATTGATGTGAGAGAGAGACATCGATTGGTTTCCTCCTTGCATGCGCCCTGACTGGGGTTGGGGATCAAGCCTGCAACCGAGGTACGTGACCTTGGCTGGAATTGAACCCGGGACTCTTCAATCCTCGGGCCCATGCTTTAACCACTGAGCAAAACCGGCTTGTGTGGGAATTTTCTGTTTTTAAAAATATCGATAATATGATAATATAACTTTAAAGAAGATGGCTGAGTATATAATATACATACAGTATATGT